ACATTAGGGCCACCGGAGCGACCCATTGTAAAAATAGCGGAAAATTTAAATCTTTTTATCAGAACATGTAAACTTATAAAATCATTTGTCACTATTTAAAAATAAAACATATTTCCAGACTCGTATATAAATCAAAATATAATTACATGCCCCCTAATCACATGTACCATACTCTGCAACAACGCCGGAAGAACTCCCTTACTGAAGTCGATAGATGCACTGGTACAATTCTTTTAACCTGAAAAGGTGAGTAATAGAGTGAGCTTTGGAAAGCTCAGTAATACAGAACTACCAGATGATGCTGATGAACGTGCAGATACAGATAAATATTTATTTCCTTATTGCTTCTGAGCATTTACATATTTTTATGCTGAGCAGAGATTCTACTGATATTTCGGGTGGTAACGGACAATGAGCTTTCAGTTCAGAGAAATATTTCGGATGACTGAGTTGAGGAGATCAGAATAGGTTTTCTAGTGTGTTCTCGAAAAATTCAGTAAAAAGATACAGATCTTTTAAAACATATATATATATATATACCCCCATCCGTTCACATCATAAATGTGTAGGTTCCCCAGAACCATACACCCAACCGCACATGCCATTTAGACCCTGAGCACAAAGCCGAGGAGTCTGCAGATAATCTTCCTCCAACAATAAACCCCCAGATAAAACATTTATCCGTCGGTAAACGGAGATATCAGAAATCAAAACATAATTCAGATCAGATATCAGAACAGAATCCAGGTTAGGAATCAGAACAGATTTCAGATCAGATGTCAAAACAGAATTCAAATCAGAAATCAGATAAAATATTCATATAAGTAGGGAACACACCAGAGTTTACAAATATTATTCAAAGGTACTGGATAATCTTAGCAAGTAGAGAAATATGGATCTTCAGTATACCGATAGAATGTCGGAATTTAGAATCACTATTGTAAAAAGTTCAATAACTGACGGAATCATCAGTTATTCAGAATGTGAATTATCAGGATCATATCTTATTCGGACAATTTTCAGAAGTTGTACGTAATCAGAAGGGTATTCAGAATCCTTTGCATCCATGTCAATTGATCGGATAATCGAACAACTTGAGAACGAAGATTCAGAACCTTAACAATCTATGTCGACTGGTCAATTCATTTTCCTTCCAGGGTATTTACCCTTTAATACCACAAATTCTTGTTCATATTTCATTTTCGAAATTAACGTTGAATAAATCTTCTAATGTCTTTATTTCATGTTCACGTTTTCACCATATCATGAAATACTGACGTACTTGATTTTGTAATTCATAATCCATAAGAACATTACATCATATATGTTCATTAACATTTCCAGATTCATCCAACTCACTTATTCAATCCTCAGTCCTTGTGGTTACTTAATTTATTTAGCATTCAAGTCCATTCCAGATACTTCGGGATTTTCCAGAGTAATTCAAGCGTTCCTGATTTTTCAGACACATGCTGCACTTCCGTTACATTCAATTTGGTCTTTGTGGCTGATTTGTCGTGCAAACGTCCAATTCTTAGTACTGAATGCGATCCAGAGTTGAACTAAGTTGAATACTTCTAAAATTTATCATCGAGTCAAACTTAAGAAGACGAACACGCATTCCAGTAATATCTCTGTCATTCATGTATTGACATAGCTTTAGGGTTGATCTACTCACTTAAATTGTGTTCCATTACTTTTAAAGGTAGGCCAATACCTATGCTTATTTGGATTCTTTAATTAATCCAAGACATTTACTTACTTTAGGCCATAAGGGTATTTTGGAAATTTTGATGTTCAGTTTTATTCCATTCATTTCAGAGCTCGAGGATATCCAATCATTCCTTAGCTTGGTGACATTCTTGAGTCATTTCCATTACAGGGGTATTTTGGTCATTTTATAGATCCACGGTATTTCAATCTTTTTCCTCCATTCGGTCTTATTATTTAATTCCAATTTATATCTTTTACTTTAGTCCTTTCGAACAATTCTGACAGCAAAATACCCCCATTAAATTATTCTTCAAGTATTTACTCATTATTCGGATATTTTCGAGTCAAGTGTCTTCTCAAATTTTACAAACGGAATATCATGAATTTTCCTGCTAAGTCATGATCTTAACAATCAAATCTGTACTTAATCGACTTAAGTACGAATCCTCTAAGTATTTTCTCATTCAGGGTTAACTCAGACTATTCGGCCTCTTAAGGGTATTTCTGTAATTTCTTAACCAGATAATTTCGATATTAGCTTTTAACGAAAATAATATAATTTAGAGATCCTATGATTAATTGCTTTCCCGAACCTTCTCTGATCTTGAAGTGATTCCTTAACAGGCTTATAGTATCTTGCATAAACCCTCTTGGTGTTAAAAACCGGTTATCCATAATTTCCAAGTAAAACTAACATTTCCTTATGCACATGAATAGTTTTAGCAGATCAATAATTCTTTTCAGATTTATTAATCTACTTCCAGAGACAATTCTTGTCATTTTCCACCATAAGGGTAATTTCGTAATTTTACCTAATCGAAATATTCTCATAATTTATCATCTAAGTACCTTTAATGAGATAAATTATAATCTACAATCCATGATTGATTCTTTTATCACTTAATTTCAGAACTTGTAATTTAATTCCAACTGTCCTCCAATTTCTTATAATAGTCATCTGAGCCATATTCAGTTATCTATTTTCTACCGTATTCATATCTAGTGTAGATCTTCATTTATTACACATATAAGACCAAACATTTCCATTCATGCATTTACCAATACCAACATGTTCTATAAAGCATAAAGAGGTAGTAAAGTATTACCTCGATTTCCGTGCAATACTGATCGACCATAAAAATTCCATTCGAACGCCTTTGATCTTCAATTCAACTTCCAATAATTCCTCAGATACATATCAACATAAATTATATCAGAAACGGAGCTTAATTACGATAAACGGATCGAATCGGGTGATAAATCAGTGAGACGACTGCTTACCGAGTTCGAATTTGGCGAAACGGACTTCGGATTCGGATTCAGGACGTTGAAAGCATAAAATATGACTTTTCGGAAATTTGGAATTTTTGGTCAAAATCAAAGTCAACGGGTTTGACTGACAATTTCGAGGCCTTCGGGTTTGAATTTCGAAAAACGGACAGCGGAATCGGATTCGGAACGTCGAAAAATGTCAGGATAGGTATACTCGGTCGAAGTCAAAGGTCGTTTAATGCCCGATCAAAGCCATTCAAAGTTTTGGTCAACAGTGGTCAACTCCTGTCAACGGTCAACGGGTCGGGTCAACGGGTCATGTCGGGTCAACGGGTTGGTAAACGGGTCGGGTCGGGTCAATGGGTCGGGTCGGGTTGTGACCGGTCAAACCGGTCAAAACAGTTCCAAAACCGGTCAAACCGGTCACTTTTCCCTTCCCCACGCGCAGTGGCGGCGCGTGGGGGCGCGTGAACAGTGATAAAATCCCGGAAAAATTTCTAAAAATTATTTTGAGCGATTTCGAGATACTTACAAAGCTCGGTTCACAATTTTGAACGGCGGAGAGCTCGATTTCAACAAATCGGGAAGTTTGACCGGTTCACCTCCCAACGCGCCGCCGCCGCCGGAGAAAAAGGAGAACACCGGTGGACTCGGAACGGCACAAGGAACACGATGGTGTGGGAGGTGTCGTAAACGGATGACCCGATCGTCGTGAATCGATGAAAAACCAACTAAAACCGAGTTATTACCGACGATACTTCCGACTGAAATTCACGACGAACGGCGATGATTCACGACGAAAGGTTTGAGGGGTTTTGTTCCTCGGTTGACAACGAACACGATGGTTGTTTCGGCTTGTCGTTTGGAGGTCGGACGACGAGTAGATCGGAGTTGGAAGTAGGGAGAACGGGAGAGGAAAACTGGAAAATTTTCCATAAACGTTTATAACATCTCATAATTAAAAATGGCTAAACCAAGAGTTTAGCCACTGAACTTCCTGCACTTCTTAAAACGATCTATCAACTTTGAAATCTTACAATTTAATCCCTTATTTCTTTCAAAATACCAAATTAAATCCACCAATTTATATTTTCTTAAATTTAGCCCCTAAATTGGGGTGTTACAATAGATCGTGAGTCTCCTTCAATTATTACTTCCCTAAATCTCAGATCAAGAGCAAAAACCGCCACATGCACTGTTGTTCTAAACCTTCTTCATGTGTCTTCAATTTATATTTATTTGTTAGAATGTTGTTAGGATCGTTTCTACAGTTGAGATTAATTTTTATACAAAATAAAATTGTCTAAATCAAGGGGTATCGATACTCCTAAAGGGTCTTATGGTATTGATATTATATCTTTAGTATCGATACTACTATAAAAGTACTGATATTATTTTTATATTCTAGAATTTGAGCAATGTTAGTAATATCAGTACTACTTAGTGAAGAACGATACTTTTCTTATTTTGGTATCAATATCATATGAATAATACTGTAAGAATAATATCGGTATTACTTGTATAAAAATAGATTTTGTGTTCAATTTTATTTTTAATGACTTTAAATTATTTTAAATTTTTTTTAAATAAATTCAATTCAAATTTAAAAATATTTTAATTTAATTAGTATATCAAAATATAGTTTAACATAAAAAAAAACAAATAGAGATCCAGGATGAAAAGTTCAAAAGAAAAGGAAAATCAGCATGAACAGCAAAGGAACATTATTCACTTCATATTACAAGTCCCCTATTTTGCCCACATTCACCATAACTGTCTTGAAGCCAAAGACAGAATTTGTACATACCTGTAATGTCGTGCCGCAAAATCAAGCATGAACATTATGTCTCAGTACCCGTTACAAGGAGATGGAGGAGAAGCTAACCAAATTGAGCTAATATTATTTTCAATAGTCATAACAATTGAATATGAATGAGGGGGCAGGGTCTTGTTCACACTTTCTACTACAAAGAAAAGGACCCAAAACAAACAGTAATAACTAACAAAGAATTTGGCGATTCGGGAAAAAAATACAAATGCCCCCACCCCCACACTGCCTTAACTAATATCAACCTAGATAACTTTACAATTTATGCCACTACCAACAGCCGGTGGATTTCTTACAAATAAATGTGGAACCAAAGACAAACCCATTGCCAACAAATTTAACCACAAAATGATTTTAAAATACAAAGCATTTGCCAATCTCTCCAAGCACGACCGGATGAGTAGCAAAGTTATGATGAGGCTGGTGAAGCACTGCATGTTTGGTCTGACTGAAAAAGTTGCTCTCACATTATAGAGCAGTTACACTTGGATTCTAGCTTTGGAGGGTTCATACTGTCCATCTTATTAGGAATATCAACATTGAGATTTGAAGGCTCAAAGGCATTTTCATCATTTACAATCTCAGTAGGCAAGGATTTTACAGCAGTTTCTACCCGCCTCTGCCTGACTTTACGAGATTTCGAAGTCCATCTACCAACAGTTCGCCCCCTTACATTTTTCCTGTCAGAAGTGGATTTCCCCAAGATCGTCACAGTTGGCCTGGAACCTTCCAATGGCACTGAACTTTCGGTTTCAATGGCAATGGTTGCAGCCTGGTAGGCAAGATCATGGATAATGGAATTACAGAAAAGTATTGTATCCGTTGCTTCCTCAAGTGTTAGGCTTCTGGCCTTACTTCCTCCACGACTTTCTACCATGACAGTTGATTCCTCTGTTAAAAAGAATAAAAGTTCCATCAAAGACTAAACAAAATCTCACTGCAACTCGGTAACAAATCAGAACTGAACTTAAGCACATAATCAGATAGTGTCCAGCTTTGGGCTCTATGGCTTTGCTTGGTTGAGTGGGAAATGAGAGGGAGTGGAAAAATGGAAAGAAATGAAATTTGAAAAATGCTTGGTAGGAAAGAAAAATGAGAGATGATCATTTTACATCCTCGTGTGTAAAAACAAATCCTCCCAATTGGAAAGGAAAATAGGAGAGAAAATGTGTGAAAGAAGCAAGTTATTTCAGAATTATGTAGCTCTTTCAAAAGCTTTATTTTCTTTCCTTTCATTTTCAACTCCAACAAGAAAAAAATGGTAAGAAAAATACATTTTCTTTCAATTTTTCCATCTTTCCTACAAAGCACACCATTGAATGAAAAAAAGTATTTTCCATCTTTCCACTTTTCTACACCTTTAATCTTCCATCCTTCCAATTTTCTTTCCACTCTACCCAGCAAAGCCTAAATCCGGAAACGCATTGACATCAAGAAACAAAAAATATAAATCTTATCTATTCCACAAACCGAGAATATAATTTTTGACACAGACATAAGGTCAAATCCATCTAATCTTACGTACGAAATATATTTAAAATAATTGTAACTAAAATTAGTTTGGCAGTGCAAATATCGAAAAAAAGAAACAGCATGGCAAATGGAGTTCAACATGATACCAGAACAGGTATGCATGGGTATGATTCATTGCAAAGCAAGCATTAGTTTCCAATATTTGGAGTTAAAGCACTCCTAAGCAGAAAACACTACAACTAAAAGTGTCATTCAGGTTATCTAATATAAGGATAATGTCAACATCACAGCAACATGCTGGTAGCTTTTGGTACAATGATCTCAGCTATACCTCTTTCTCAACACCTAATATGAATTCCACAAGTGATCTAAAATGTTGTGCTTGTCAGTACATGCCAATACATAGTTTATATATTCAATATGCTCGTCTATCCCTTTCTTACCTTTTTGTGACGAGCAGCAAGGAGGAAGAAATACCAGAACTTTATGACCATGAATACAAGATAAAAATGACTTGAAGAATAATGATAACATTCACTTAAGAAAAAAAATATTGGTCATAATTGCATCTAATACAAATTGATCATTCATAATTAACTTTTGACCAATTTTTAGCCAACCTAAATGTACAATGTTAAAATTGCACCTGCTAAAAGACGAGTGGTAAATTTGATCACAGACCCTTAACCCAAAGAAAAAGAGAAAAAGGATCAATCATGATGGGTAGTCAATGAAGGATTAGAAGTATCTTTTAGTGTTTCTATTTACTGATCTCAGAAATAAAACTACAAGAAAGCAACAATGGTTGAAGAAATAATAATCTAACTTTCAAAACTCAAAAGGACTAATATGGAGGGTTCATGAAGTATTAAACATAGCTGCATCATAAAATTGTTTATCACATATGATAATAGACATATCAAGAAACTTCTGAAGAATGGAAATGAAATTTTACTTCTCACGTTGAAAATGCAAAATAGATGAAAAGACAAAATGAAATAACTGCATACCTAAAACGCCATCTGCGTGATCTGAGATATTATGCTCCTGAACAGAAGCAGTAACATCCACATCTAAAGGCATAACATCTAAAAGATCCATGGATTTCTTCTTTTCCTTCTCAGAATTTGGAGACAAGCCATCAAGTTCTGAACTGCAGGAACTACGACAGGAATTATCAATTTCAATTTCTGAGATTGTAGTCAAAGAGCTGTGGCCAGCAGCCTCAACAGCATCTACTCCATCAGGAGTATCATTTCTCATACCATGCTCTTCAAGAGCAGGATCTAAAGTGGTGGCTAATGCTTCAACTCCTGAGGCTATCCTGGCACTACTTGGTAAGTTATCTCCATTTTCAATTGAAATACTACCGTCATTGGGAGGAAATGGTGCTGCTGAATTGTCCTCTAATGGCCCAGAGGTTGAAGTATCAGTTAATCGCCTACTTTCATTCCACTCAACACCATCAGTTTTGGGAACGGCAGCATCAGGGAATGATGAAATTGCCTCTGAATTTTCTGAAGCTTTTGCTAGAGAAATAACAGCTATTTCCTCGGCTTCCTCAAATTTCAGACTACGAACAGAACCCTCAAAATTCTCATCATTCGAACTAGATGCAAGACTTAAAGCTTGGTAATTATTGCTTGAACTTTGAGACAAAGTAAAGCTTTGAGGCTTTGAATTCAAGTCATATCTGTAATTCTCCAACTCAGATTTTCTACCATTCAATTGTACACGTGTATCTGTTTGTCTACATGAGCCCAATTCGACAGAGGATGATGCAGATACACTCCCATGTCCAACAGAGCTTCTAAAACTGTTAGAACTGTCTCTTGCATAAGAAAGATCTTCTGATGGAAGGATAGAAAAGGTCCTACCTAGAACAACAGGCCCCTTGCTACTGCCTGACCTCTTTAACAGCACTGAAATACCTACAACTTCTGATGTATTAACCTTCAAACAAGAATTTTCATCAGAGTAATTCAGCTGCTGACCTCCAGTGTCCATCTCAGGTATAGAACAAAAAACAGTTGATTCAGCCATCTCTTGTTGATAACCAAGCCTCTGCTCACCTCCCTCTGCCAGAGAACCTCCAAGAGAATTTTCTAGAGAGAAATTTTCACTTAGCTTTATATTTTTTTCATGATGAGAAATCCAGGGATCAACTGCATTATTAACCTGCAAAGGTGAACCAGACCATTCAGGAAAGGGTTTATCCTCTTCAGAAATTTTCATAAACAACCCTATGTAATTCTCTGCATCAGAAATGTCACCAGCGATTATATCATGTTGCCTACTGCAATCTGTGCAAAGACTGATTTCTTCTTCAACCTGCTCAATAACATGATACCTGCAACCACATTTAGAACATATTTTTGCGTTCTCAAAACTATCAACTTCTGAAAGGTCTCCCCTGTCACACAGAGCATCAGAATTTGAACTCATTTCCACTTTAAGACCATGGTGACTTAACTCCTCAAAGTGGCCTGGGTCACATTGCATTGCAGAGTCTCTATTAGCATCTTCATTAAGAATATTACGTCTTTCATAGCTAGCATCCTGGTTTACTACATCCATCTTATCGAAGGCAAAAACCTCTTCTAGAACATTGGCATAAGGTCCCCTTCTGGATTCACTTGCCATGTCATCATATTGGTCGCTTCCTTCAGTATCAAACAAAGAACTTGTACTTTGATCAGAATTTGCATTACTGCTGGTGGCAACAGATGAATTCTTTGACATCAAAGATGGATGTGCAGAACTTCCCTTCCCAACATAAAAAGTGGTACTTGGAACACTAGATAATAGAGGTCTGAACATATTTGGAGGACTCTTCTGATGATCCTGCACCAAAATATTTGATTACAATGAACTATAAGGTCTGTGTTGATGACCAAGCACGTTTGATATGCATTAATTATGCACAAAAAGTCTAAATGAGAACAAAAGCATCAGGGCCCAGGGGTAACAAGACAACGTGTGAGTTCTTTCACAACTATCTTAAAATTCTTTTTGCTTAGTAGTAAAGGTATAGACCATGCAGACTGCATTGAAGTTCTTGAGTTATTTAACACATCAAAAGAAAGCCAACAGCTCCAAAAGTTTACTTAAATATGAAATGTGATAAATAGAATGCACTAGTTCAATAGGAAGTTCTGGAGTTCTGGCTTTCTTTCCCCTTTCAGACATACCAGATTAAATTAAGCATTGAAGTCACTGCCAAAAACTTCATCTAGCAATTAATTCTGACTATGGTCCTCACACACAATGCTTACTGACTAGTAGGACCACATCAAACCCATCAAGTTTACCGCCTCTAGAATTATATGGAATTATCTGAACATGACACAGTAATTTGAGAATACTATACCAGAGAACCAACACAGACACATGCCAACGAAAATGAAAAGATTTTACATTGATCTTCCATATCTCTTTTCCCATTATCAAATAGTCTAAATTTATAACATGTTAGCAAAAAATACTGGAATAAAAACAATCATCTGTTGCAAATCATTCAGAAAGGAACTAAATAAAGTGTAGCAAAAAAAGCAACGTAGGTTCAGAACATTAGAGCAGACAAGTTAACTACTAATGTTTTAACACTTTTATCCCAAAACTGATGTAACAGATGCATATTAACCTAAAAAAGTAATAAATACCATTTGACGAAGAGCAGAGTCAAAGGAACGTTTTGGAGCAGAACTTGGTGAAAACACTCTAGCTGATTTCTTGTTAAAGGTGGCTGGCCCCTTATTGTTTGTGTATGTGCCAATCCTCCTTGAAACAGAAAGGGTGGATCCACTAAGAGGAATAGATTCTAGAGTGTCTACATCATCATCACCAGATGACGCTATAGACCCTTTACTGTACGAACTTAAGTGGTCCCGATCATGACTATGAGATGAGCTGACACTTCTAGATGCAGTTGGCGACATTGATTTCCTGCCAAATCTTGTATCCCTTCCATTTCTAGATGCAGGGGAGGAGCCCCTCACATATGATGCTGGTCGATCAGCCAGAGAAGTACGAAGATTGGGTGGTGCATCTAAGAAGAAACCGGGGATATTTGACTGCCATGCCCTTATTTTTGGTGATGTAGAGTTTCCCCTACTTGTCCTCAAAGGAGATGATCCCCTTCCCTCTGTGCTTGTCCTTTGAGGAGTAGGTGTAGAAGACCTTCGCGTGGGTACTGAACTTTTACAAGGGGAAGGAGATGGTCTCCGAGTTGGAGTATGTTGCCTTATTGGACTGGACTGAGGTGCTGAAGATGGCCTTCCTCTAGATTGGAGTGTGCTACTTCCAGACCGAGGTGAAGGATTTAAACGATTTGGACTTGGACTGCCCCTACTGCTTCTGTAACCCTTTTCCATCTGCATATTGTTCACAGAGGATTAAGGGTGAAGATTTAGAAAGAATAAGATCAGACTTTCAAGAGAAAACTATAACGAATGTTGACGAATTATTTCATTAGCACACATATTTTCATTCTATAAGAGTGATATGGCAACATACTGTGGATGATCTTGATATGGAAATGGGTTGAGTCTGAGGTCTAACCCTGCGAGCAATGTTAGCCGGAGGTGGCTCATCATCCAATGAAGGAAAAAGAGGGGTGTCAGGGGGAGTTAATAACCTTCAAAATCACCAAGAATGACAATTTGTGAGGGCCAAGAAACTTCCAAGTACATATAACAGCTCAATAGCATGCAATGAATGGAAAAAAATGATCGAAGAACACTAATTTCTTGCCTAGGCCATTGGCAATGACTTTATTCTAACATACACCAAACATGAACAAGCCAACTAACATGAAGAGGAAATTATAACCTACCATTCATAGTCATTTTTCTCTTCATCTGCAACAAGGAGTTCACTAGTCTCCCTTCGAACAGGAACAGATATTCCAAGCTTGAAATCTGAAAAATATTTCAGTTTTGCAGCTGTAAGCAATAATTCAAAACCAAAGAAAACAAACAATGACGTTAGTTTACAGACACTAGTCTATATTCCTAAATTCACGGGAAAATAGGCCAATACAACTGAAACCAAAAGGCAAAACAGAAAATTACAAAATGAGTCTTCCGCGTCATCCAAGGAATGAAGCAAAATATCCTCCCTTTCTTTGGATTGCATGTCATTGAACAAAGCAAGGTCGTCATCTTTTTCTTGTACACTCAACCCGCCCTCCAAACTATGCCGTCTTTTGTGGGTTTCCCCTCTCAGCTCCTTCCCTGGAGAGTGTCTCAATGCTGGAGAAGGAGGCATCTTACCTAGTCTATCCTACTGAAACAATCACAGCAATCCTCCCAACAATCTAGTAATTAACCAGCAATCTTGTCCCATAATTTACTCCAAACTTGCCCCTCCCGTGTTTCATCCAAGTAATAAATGCAATCAACTTCAAAATAACTCAAAACAAGGCAGCAATGCCCGTCTCTCGAAACAGAATGCCTGATACAAAATCTTTATAAACTGTCAAATTTTAGAGAATAACTGTGATGACCATATACTCCAAAAAGGGAGCTTCAGCAGCGGTAACTGAACAATAACCACCGAATTGAGATGAAAAATAGCCTCCAAACTGAGATGCTTGTAGTGAAATGCAAGTTCCGAACACTAGATTTCCATCAAAATTAACAGCAAAATACCTACATTGACCAAAACCCGAAGTTAAAAGTCAAAATTTTCAGCCACCAGTAACCTCCAAGCAGAATCCTTCCAGCGCCGCTCAAAATTAGTGACGAAACCAATTCACCTGTAGACACAATTTTATCCGTGTCATTTGAAAATGATTTCAGTAATGGAGCGCTCTCGAATTTTGGTCTTGGTTGGGGCCGCCGTCCCAAATTTGTTATTACCATATGTTATTTTTATCATTTTATTTCTTTTCATATTTAGGACACTCTAAAACATATATAAATCAGACATTTAAAAATATTACAGGAAAATTCCAGAAAAAAATAGAAAGGAGTAAAATTTAAAAAAGGAAAGTATGAAACTTGAAATGTGAGATCTGAGAATAGGGCTGATATTTATTAACAGAATTTTTAGAGGGGGTTTTGAAGCTAGAAATAGGGTCCGAAAACTTAGGATCCATAAATTAAGGTTAGGATAAGACCAAATAATTTGACCTGCTAGGCAGATTCGATCATAATGAGTTTATGATAAACCCTTGATTTCAACAAAGCAAAGAATTGAAAAGACCAACATCAACAACCCCAGAAAAGGTCACAATTCTCCAACAAATCACAAGAACAAACCATAATTTCTCATGTTTCATTTTCTTTCTTCAAAAAAAATCAACAGAAAAAATGAACAGAATATAAACAGATACCCATCAGCAAATGAAAGAAAATCAAACATTTGCTGGCGGTGGGTTAAGCTTTTTTTACGGATTTCAAGGATTCTCAGGTTGAGCTTGTTGTTTCCAAAAACCAAAACAGATTAATACCTTGAGGAGGACCGTAAGATAGTTCGTCTTCAATTATGTAACCATCTAACGGCAGAATGTGGCGGTTTAAGTGTTAGTAACCGCAGGTATCGGGCTTAGATTTAGAGCTTTCGGTGTTGATTTCGAGAGAAGTAAGCTGATTTCGGGGTTTAGAAGTCAAAATTAAGTATTCTTGTCAAAATGGGAAGTTACTACGTTAGCGGGCAGCCGTGAACGGTGGTTGCCCTCGACGGCAGAAACTACAGTGGTACACTAGAGAAACTGAAGGGTAATTAGATTCTAATTTTCTGGTTCTGAAGGAACAAATGAAATTTGTAGTAAAATATAAAGAAAATGTTAAGTTATAAAGATGCTCGTGTCGGGTTGCGCAGGGCCCGCGAAAACACCGATTCGTCCACCCGACCCGATCTCTGCATTCTTCTTTTCTTTTTATATTAATATACAAAAATTCTCAAAACTATACATGATTCATCATCCGATGAGGTGTTAATATTTTTTTCTTTAAATATATCTTTTTAACATTTCCAACGTTATTATTTTAGATATTTAGTATATCACGGTCGATGAAAATTATGATAATCACTCAAAATATGATATATATTGTGTCTATAATTTTTTAAAATAATATTTAAAAATATAAAATTATTATTATGTAAAAAAACTAAAACTTATTAAAATTTTCAAAAACAAAATCTCAAAATCATCTTAAAGCATCAACTTCGTCGTTGGTCATCCTCCGTCATTATTGCTCTCATCCACTGTCTATTCATCTATCTTCGGTCGATCATTCTCTTGTTGTAGTAGTCTCAGTCTTCAAAAATTCTTAAATATCTAAATTCAAATCTCTAAATTCCCAAGCCCAAATCTCTAAATCTCAATTGAATTGGTAGCTACAAATGTGGTTGATGGGTGAGTGGGTGATAATGATGGTGGTCGATGACGGAATTGATTAGGGATTTTAGGGGTATTTTTAAAGTTTTATGAATTTTAGAGTATTTTTAGATTTTCTTGGAAATTTATGTTTTTTTTAAATAATTAAAAATTATATCACATGTAAAAAAATGAATTGATTGACTGATTCTTAAAGACTTTTCAACGAATATGATAAATTAAACACTTAAAATAATAATATCAAAAACGTTAAACACATACTACTTTTATTATATATTATGAGATTAAATTACTAAAATCGTCCATCCACACATAAAAAGTTTCAAATATCACATCTAATTATTTTTATGTTATACACTATATAAAATTAGCAAAAAATTCTTTTTATTTTCTACTTTTTCCATTTTTAGGCTTTTATAAATTTTATAATCATTTTAAATTTAAAATATTTTCACAATATTTTATTTTAAATTAGGACCAAATACTATCGCAATTTTTACATAATTATATATATTTAATTTATTAACTGATTAAATTATCAAAATTTATTACAAAGCAATATTTCAATCTATTTTTTCCTATTTATAATATCATAACTTAAATTTTTATTCTAACCTAAAGAATTTAACACCTCACCCAACAACTCTCATAATTTTTATAAATTTTTTATTTGTTGTTTTGATTCTACATATAGCATTTGTATATATTATCATATAAGATTAAAAAATATTAAAAACACTTTAATTATAATTATAATAGTTATATCATAAAATTTAAATTTTTATACTGAGTTTTTTTTTATAAATCTGGAATGAATGTTAATAGTACTTCAAAAGATAATAACAATTTATTAACCAAGGCCTTTTATAATATTAAAAAAATTTGTTATATTGATTTATATTTATTATTACATTTCTTTTTGTTAATTTCATATAAATACAAATTTTTTAATCCCACGTCATTAATTTGGGATAAAAGATTATAATAATATTTAAAATATAAAAAAATTAAGATATCAACCATTTTTTGTCAACTAAAAAAAATCGACCAATGGAATAATGGTCATGGAAGGATTAATGATGTGGTCATTATTAGAGAGACAAATCTTAAATGCCCTTTTCACAATCCAATGATGTCTAATCTTTATTGACCAATGGAATAATGGAATGATTAATGATGTGGTCATTATTGAAGGGGCAAATCTTAAGTACCCTTTTCACAATTTAGTCTTCCAATGATGTCTAATCTTTATTCCTTTTATTCGTCTAACCCACCCATCGATATTTTTAGAGGACTTAACTGTCCTTTATTTTTTATTAGGTCTAAATTATTAAGAATACAACTGAAAATTGTGGCTTTATTTATAGAATTCAAACTTCAATCCGTAAAACAAAACAATTTAATGTTTATTTAACAAAGTACATTGATTCAAATAATTTTTTAAACAATTCTTATACGAGGGGGAAAATGAAAATTTTACTCGTAAGAGAGAGGTGCTATTAATTGAGTGTTTTTAACTATCGTTTTGAGAGAATATTGACCATTCAAATATTTTTTAAGTATTTTAGTCTTTTATTATTTTATTTTATTTTATTTTACTTTTTTAGTAAATTGTATTAGTGGTTGCTTTTATTTTATTTTTTATTTTGATCACTTAACTTTTAGAAGTTATAATTTGATCACTTATATCAATTTTCTTTTGAATTGGAACTAGGAACGAGGGCCTTAACTAATTACAAGCATGTCTACGATAAGGTTGATCGAAGATGTCCCGATCCAGAAGCTGAGAAACAGAAGCAGGGGCTTCGGTAAGGATAGTGGTCTAAAAATTTGGTGCAGTTGTCATCTTTGCTAAACAGTCAGCCACTATGTTTTCTTCATGAGGGATCCAAAGAAACTCGACATACCAATTACGACCACAAAGCGGGGTGATAGCATAGATCAGGGGGAATGGGATGGACTTTGCATTAGGGTCCTTGAGCATCTGAGCAGTCTGGGTGTTGTCAGTTTGTACTTGAAGATGTTGAAATGTCAAAGCAGCTGACAGCTGAATTTGGTTCATGGGGCGACTGATTTTTTTTGAAAAGTGCAATGGGAAAATTACAAATTTAGTCCCTATACTTTAGAGTATTTATAAGATTAGTACTTAAGCTTCAACTATAAATACCCTAACTCATTTAGCTTCAAAATCATCCTAAATCATTCTAGTTTTCTCCCAATACTAGAGAATTTAGAGAGTTTTATTGAGAGTTGTTTTCTCCTTTTTATCAAGAGAATTGTCATTGTTTTCTCATTGTTAGATCGAGAGACGTTGTAATTCTTATTTTTCTCATAGTGAAATTCTTCTACCGTTGCCCGTGGTTTTTACCCTATATTATTTAGGGGTTTTCCACGTAAAATTTGTGTCTTCTTTATCTTCATTTTTATTTTCTCAAATTATCAGTTGCAATTTTGCTCTATCTGATAACCGTATTCCACAACAATTGGTATCAGAGCCAGGTTTGAGTGTGTAATATATACTTATTATCTTTTTGATTGCCACCAAAAGGTGGATCCTCCAACATAAGGAAGTAAGAAGGTATTACCCATTCTTTGAAGGTTTCAGAGAACTATTCACGATAGTGAAATAGTGGGAGCTATCCGTAATAGAAGCTAAGATAACGAAATTTGATATTGAAAAATTCAATGGGAGAAATTTCTCATTGTGGAAATTGAAGATGAAAGTCATCCTAAGGAAAGACGGTTGTCTAGTAGCTATCAGTGAAAGGCCGGTAGATTTCACAGATAACAACAAATGGATCGAAATGGACGGGAATGCTATGGCAAACTTTCATCTAGCATTAGCAGATGAAGTATTGTCAAGCATCGAGAAGAAGAAGACAACTAAGGAGATATGAGATCATCTCACCAAACTGTACGAGACCACATCGTTACACAATAAAA